AAAAGGAAGAAAAAACAGAAAAAAAACCCCAAAACGTTTCTGTGCTGTGCAAAAGACACTTTGTACAATTCAAACAGAACAAACTCCATGCACATGAACGGGGCTACAGAACACCCCAAGCCAGGACCCGGCTCCCCAGCACCACCTGGCAAAATCCCAACAGAAACAGGGCTGGAAATAATACTGATGCGCAAAGTCCCCTTTAATAGGCGGGCAGGGAGGATTGTCGCCACGGCACATGCAGGATGAGCTTCCAAGCACTGCAGCTGGGGTCTTGCTGATGCCCTACAGTGATGGACAGACACAGAAGGGGTCACAGGCAACAAAGCCGCGCTGGCCGCCTGGGAGCCGCGGGGTGCTACGATGACACAGTCACTGCCGTCAGGGCTCCGTTCCGGGTGTAGTAGAACTTGCTGAATGCCTCTTCAAGTAAACAGGTAAGTCTGCTCTGGTCAGCCTGGGAAGAACAAGCTACAGTGAGGGGCAGGCCCAGCCTGCACAAAGCTAAGAGCTCGGCTGGAGCCTGCCAGGGCGCACGGGCAGGGACACCTCCCTCCTACCTCTCCCCCTAGAAAAGGAGTGATCCAACATAACTATTTAAGTTTGAGAAAGGAATGCAGATCTATATCCCTACCTGAGCCCCAGGCCTGCTTACCTCACTGATGAATCCAAGCTGGACCAGTTCAGCTGCCAGCTCCTGGATGTTGTCATCTGCAACACAGGGACGGGTGTCAGTCCCAGCTCTGAGTGCACTGCTGGCCCCAGGGCACCAGAGCACAGGAGGAAAGGTACTTACTGGGCTGCAGGTCACAGCTCAAGTGTCGATTCAACTTGTCTTCCAGTTTCAGCAGCAGTGTTAACTGCAGGGTAGAGAAGATCTCATGAGGGACTGCATGGCAGCCACAGACAGCCAGGAGCATCACCAGAAATCCCCATCACGACAGGAACCACCCTCCTCCAGAGCCCCAAAGGAGTCTAACAGAACAACCACGTGCATTTCCACTCCAGACCACAGCCAGCAGCACCATCCCGTGGAGGAAGCCTGAATCTGGGGGTGGACCGAGAACATCTGCTGCATGCCAGGTCAGCCAGTGGCAGGGGCCTGCATCTGGCTTTGGGGCCCGAGATGGCAGCTGTGGCAGCCGGGGGTTGCAGCAGGCACCAGCAGCGCATCAGCATGCTGGAGCCCCCAGCTCTGCACAGCTGCCCTGGCGCACCCCCAGACAGCATGCGCAGCCCGAAGACGGGAACATACATGGTGCTTCACTCCCTCCTCCACCGACTCGATGTTGCACTGCATCAGCACCACCTGAAACAGAAGCCAAGACACCCTGTGACTGCCTGCTGCTGCACTGCTTGGCTGCCTGGGGAGGGGAGGGAACGGAGGTCCCATATCTGTTACCTTGCGGGTCTCCACCTCAGCAGGCTCTGGAGTCGGGGTTTTCACAGATGGTGGAGCAATAGGAGATTTCACCACTACCTGCTGGGGCTGCTGGGGTCGCGGCATTCCAAAAGCTGTGAGTGGGTAGATACCATTCCTACAAGAAAGAAGCAGGGTCTGAGGTTGTGCCTCCAAAATTTTTCCAGCCTCACACACAGTTAAAATCACCCTTTAAAAAAAAACCTCTTACCTTACATCCTCCAGGAACTTGTCCAGCTCTAATGCTGGAGACTGTGAAAATCTGGTAAAAAAAAAACAAAACAACAAAAACCACACTTACTGAGGTGAGAAGTCATCTACAGAACCATCCACTCAAGTCTCTTTGGATGCAATTTCAAATCCCCATGCCCTAGACTACGGCTGTGTCAGTGGGCAGGCTGAGCACAGACAGAGGCAGCCAGCCAAAGGCAAGACAGACTCCAATCTTCCTGTGCAGGAAGCAACTATTCCTAACAGCTAAGGATGAGGCAACACTTTACATCATGGCAGAACAGGTATCGCCTCCCTGTAAAGAGTTGTCCAATACAAAGAATTACGTGGAAGCCAGCCCAATAACACCGAGTTCACACCGAGTACCTAGCAAGCTTTTTGAAAGACATCTGTTGTACCAGACCCACGAAGCCCGAGTCCCATTCTCCAGAAGAGCAAGGGCACTCAGCACTGCAAAGGCAAGAACCTGATGGCACAGTATGACCAGCCATATCACTCCACACCAGAAACTAGAAACTACACCTCAGGATTTAATGCCCTGCCCAAATATTTCTCACGGGAGTTTGGGATACTTCTGTTTTCTCTGTAGTTTCTTTCCCAGATTGCTCATTCAGCTTGGTAGCTACTTAATATAGTGTCTCAGAATAAATCTTCCTACAAATTCATCTTTAATTTCCCAGCCTCCAATTCCACTGAACATCTTCCTTGCTGGTGACCAATGCAGGACAGTAAGCACTGACAACCCCTCCCCTTTGTGCCGTAACTTGTCGTATGTCTACTGCTCTTCCTCCTTCTCACCCTCAAGAACACACAGGTCCTCCATGTGGTGACAATGACTTCCAGCCCCTTGGTAAATTCAGCTCTTTGATCTGCTCCAGGACTGTTTGCAAAGGCTGCCACTTTGTACACACACATCATACAGGCAGTGTCTTCAGACATTTCACCCAACTACCGCAACCTTCTCTCCCATTATTCGGCACCCTGATACCACATTTGCTCTCGTCTACAGCTGCATAGCAGTGCATTCACAACACTCTGGAAATGGTCTTTTCCTGTGGTGTTACTTCACAGCCTTCTCAGACAGAGCAGCAGTCCTTTTTTCTCTAAAGCAAGTTACACTGTCTTTTGCACGGCACGGAGTCCACAGCAAGTACCTCATTTCTTTCTGGTTTGGACTTACAAGAAGACACAGGTTCTCCTACTTCACTAACTCCCCAGTAAAACACTTTCTTCATCACTTTAGTCAATCCAGCTTTTTAGTGTCCATCACAGCTTCTTTTAGACTGGTTCCAACAAAAATCTTGAACAGCCAGTGTTCCCCGTACCACTGTCTAAGCACTGCTTTGAAGAATTTCAGAGATCAGCCAGAGACCGCAAGCTGCTGGAATCCTGCCATGATCCCCCCCAAGTGCTTTGCTGTTTCATCAGAGCCGGTGTAGGGTGCACACCAGCCTCAGCTCCCCAGACCACTCTCCAGCCCTTCCCAACACACACATCTGTTGCTTTCCCACCCTCTAGTATAGTAGTACTTTTCAGCAAAAATGTATGATTGTTTTCCAGCAGCTCAGTTTGCATGGCCTCTGATGAATCATCTGGAAATGATGCGCTCTGACATTTCAGATCATTACTATGCTTTCTTTTTCCTTTTCCAGCACCTCTGAGGCACTGCACTACCAAAGCAGCAAGTCCCGGGCTGATAGCCAAGCCTCTGCAGACTGAAGTCCAATATACGTAAAGAATCTCTCCTACACAGCTTTGGTTATTCACTCCTTATCCTCCATTTTTGAACTTTTAATTAACAAAAAAAAATTCCAAAGGGAATTTAATACTATTATTTACTAGTGCTATGAAGATCAGAAGGTCAGTTTTTAGAAAGGTCTATATGGCTCAAAGAGCTTCTCAAATGAACAGTGCTTTTTTTTCCTTGTCATCTTGATCACTTCTGTTGAGTAGCCTGAGCACCCCAGAATGCTGGGCTACCCTGGAAGCACCCTGGTCTTCTCTGGAAATACAGTATCCACATCTTAATCTTTTCATCTAACCCCTCAACTAGCTGAGCTTACATTATCCAAAATTTAACATCACTTTTTGTCACTCTACTTGGTCCATACGTATTTCAGTCACTTACTTAGGGAGCCACCTCTACAGTTTAAGTGGCTGCTGTGTGTTACTGATAGCTGCCCAAAACAGTTTTTACCTTTGCATATTGTAGAATAAGCTGCCCTGTTAAGAAAACACCGGGGAACCATTTCTCCAGCATGCTGGACTCCATTTGACAAGCCTGTGACAGGCCCGACTCACTTCCCCAAACTGTTCAGCCAGATTTTGCTAAGGACTGTTCCAACTACAGCGTTAACTTCCCGCCCCTCCATCTGGGGAACAATTCACACCTCAGCTGCATGGAATTTCTTCACAGAACATGGGTGCAAGGTCATCTTCTACCCAGGAGTTACCCTCCACGGAACTTTTTGTGCCCAGAGAGTGCATGACTGCTCCGTCACCAACAGCACCATCAGTTCCCTTTTGTTTCCCAGTTAGTGGTGAAATACCAACACTAACTCGAAGAGTCCCAGGCAGACCCTTCAGCGCTCACCCCAGTGCCCTGGCATCTGTTCCACGTGCACCTGAGCAGCCCCCTCCAAGCACACCACAGGGTACTCACATCATCTTGACTCCTTCCCTGTCCGTGTGATTGATTTCTGCCAACACCGCACTCATGTCAAGGTTTTTGGTCATCTCTTCTAAAGCATTTTCAGGAATCATATCTATTAAAAAAAAAAGTTAGAACAACTACAATTCCTTTCCAACCTAAGAAAAGCAATAAAAACCTGAGAAGCTTTAGGCTGTTAAACTCCTGTGCCACTCAGAGCAGGTAGGGCACCACAGTCCTCCAGGCTCTGCAGTGACTGCAGCTCTGTTTCACAAGGCCCTGGTCCCTGCCTGTTAAGAGCAGCATGAAGGTCTTGGTTTCCAGGATGCTAGCTGTACTGACAACTTCGTGAAGCTTTGCAGAACATGAGACGTGGCACCCTGGAACTCCATACTCACGCTGATGTCCAACGATACAGTGAGCAGCCAGTAGCTTTAGTGATGGCACCTCAAACAACGCCTGATGAAAAAGGAGCTCCCGGGCAGTAGGACGCTTGCCAGGGTCCTGTTCTAGACACTTCTGAATGAACTCCTGAAAGACAAAAATTGCATGAGACCATGTGCAATGCCAGCATGTCTGCAGGCGTGCTGATCCCTCCTCACTCACCCTCTGCAAGGGGTCCTCCAGCAGCTGGATGGCACTGTTAATGGCCTCCTGGGGCACATAGGACGACTCTCCATTACCCTGTATTTCCAGCACCGCCATCTGCAAACACAAAGCAGCACATCAGGCCTCACTGAGAATGACTGAACATTGAACAGAACCCAAGGAGACCACTGCCAAGCGTGAGATCGTAACAGCCAAGTTGTTTGGTGCTATTTAAGGTCACAGTTTGTGGAGGCAGAGAGAGAACGACTGCCTCATTATGATAGCTTGCTTCCAGCCCCATCACAGATTGCCAGGGAGACCTGAAAACTATGCCAGCATCACCTTAGACAGTAAGTATCTCCATTCTGAATGTCATGATCCACTGGCCTGTACTTCTACTTGTTAATTCCCATCCCCTAATGAAGCAGTATCTGGATCGCTGCCAGAAGCTGACAGTGTCCCTCCTGGCTGTATGAATAGCTCTGTATTACAGGCAGAAAAGCACGAACACAATGCCATCCAGAACTGGCTCCAGCCAACACATACACCAATTCCCATCTAGAAAAAGCTGGCAAAAGATTCTAGAGAACACCTTAAGATTCAGCTCAAGTTTTGCTTCCTAAAAGTTGTGTTTCCACAATTCTCCTCCTGCTTCACTTATGGGATGGGCAGCATAGGTTCAGAATTCTTCGTGTTGGCTCCTTCCGACAACTCTTCCCAGAAAATACTCCTACCAACAACTTCCATTTCCTAGACCTGGGCCTACTGATTGCAAGGACAGAGGAACCACAAGTCTGCTAAGATCAGGTACATTAGACTCGCGCCTGACTGCAACCAGCACCTGTATCAGGTGGGGATAGGCTGGCCCAGAAAAATTATGGACTACATCTGTCCTCTCCTCCAGATACCACAGGAAGAACAGGTATTCCCCAGAAGGGGAATTTTGTTCTCCAGGTACATTAAGTACAGTTTCTAGTAGTGACTGTTCCCACCAGCCAGTGGTCAGACTTCAGAACTGGCCAAGACCTGCAGAGTAATGAGCTGCACATTAGAAATTTCAGAAATAACTACACGTTACTGAACTATTTACTTCTTAGCAAGCCATTTTGGGGAGCCTCAGTAGGGATCCCTCCAAGGTAAAGTGCATTTGGCTGAGAGAACACCAAGCTAACCCACCCATAACCACAGCATCTCCACAGAGCCATCTCCTTCCCTCAAATACATTCTCTCTCTGTTCCACAGCAAGTGTTCCAGACTCACCTCCAGTGCACACATCCCAAAGGAGTAAATGTCCACAGCGGTGGTGACGTTGGCAACTTCTGTAACACAGAAATAATGCTCCGTTATCAGTCTGTCCCTGCATTCAGCTATCAAGACAGAGGAGTTGGAGCATTTAAGCAGTCAAATAACTCAGAACTGTTAATGTGGCATCTCCCATGAGCCTGTAGCTGAAAACAAGATGCAGAACAGCTTGGAAACTTTAGTAAGGCCAACAAAACCAGGCTTGCAGCTGTAGCCACACCATACCTCCATATTCTGGGGCAAAGAAGTGCAGGTTCTTCTGTTCCTCACGACAGGTCTTCACGTGGTTGTTAATTGTGTCCGGTGCCACTAGAAGAAAGTCACAAATACTTAGGATGCAGGAAACTGCAGCCCATCCCTGACTAGATCCCAGAGAACACATGCAACTCCCAGGCCCTGGAGACCAGAGTTTCTGCTGAACGGGAAGACAAGCTGGGAAGGACTCCCTGTTGAAGTGCAAGTCCTGAAAGCACCTAACTTAAATCAGATCTACAACATTTGTCACAAGCAACTCAGCTACAACAGAAGCCCTAGAAACAGCCAGAGATGCCAAGATCACTGCAACTAGTCACCACCTCAGGGCTCTAGGAGAGGGACAGACCTACAAGGCAACTCTTCCACATATCAGCAGGACACTGGTGCCAAAGCGCCTCAAGACAAAAGTCAAGCAAAGCTGCTGAATGAGGAGAGATGACCACCCTGAGAGCAGAGACCTCTCAGAAGCCAGCGCCTCCACAGCAACAACCACAAACCACTTGCAGCTACAGGGAGGAAATAACTCCCAGCCACAAGAACAATGAGCATAACCCAAGTATGGACACATTCCCCATAAAAGATAAGCTTTTGGGACAGCCACCTCTAAAAAGACTACAAACAGCTCTCCAAAACCAAGCAGATGGCTCCACCAGGGAGAAATACTGAGGTAGGCAAGGAGCACAGGGTAACCATCCCATCTGAAGCTCTGTTTCCGCCCTTGAACATGCCTGGTCCCACAGCCTCAGGCCCATCTCCCACTTTGTCAGCCTCCTGGACATTCGCATTGGTCCTGGTCTGTACTGCTACATTGTGGTCTTACACTGGATGTGCCAGACCGCTTGTTATTTTTCCAGGTTTTCCTGGATTAGGGCAGGACACACCAAAGACGATTCCTAGTTGAATGAGACTGAACTGGCTTCCAGCCTCAGAGGAGAGACGTTCTTTGGGCTCTAGTCAGACAAGAAGGATCTTCCTTGGTAACTCAGCTCAGCCTCGCTGTGTGGCACATACCAAATCGTATCATCTTATTCGAGCACTGGAAATTGACCTTGCTCCAATGGCCAGCATCCATTTTCCCAACCAACCATTCACGAGTAGTTTACTGCTTTTTGTTCTTGTGCTAGCTCTTACTTTGGGAGTCCAGTAAGATGATTTCATTCCTAGTGCATACTTGTTTACAGACACCACCAGGTCCTCTCAGCTCCACAGCACTAAGCAAAGCTAGCTAAATACTTTGTCTTCCTGTTAAGACCTGCTCTGCATTTTCCCAGTCACCCCAACTGCTTTAAATGAGGTCTGGCCAGGGCCATGCACAATCACACCAATTCTCTGTCCTGGGGACTCTGGCCCAATGGATCTTCACACTGCATACAAAGCAAGTGGAGCAAATTCCTCCACTGAACAGCTAGTAGATGCCAGACCCTCCTCATTTCCCAAATTACAAGCTCTGGACTTCTGTGCAGCTTTGTATTGTGCACTATCGAGTTTCTTGCAACTGGAATTTGTCCAGTCCTCTAATGTCTTCCTGTGCTTCTGGAGGATATCCTGACCAACCTCAACATCACACATTCCCCACGTTTCTGTCAGCACCCTCAACATTAAGTAGATCAGTGCCTGAGGGACTCCAAACCCCTCTGGTGGGGCAGCCCCTTTTCAGCTTCTACACTGTCACCGTGCCTCCAGCCAGCGCCTGACTCTGCATACCGGGTAAATCACCCAAGGTTTGTCCAGCACAACAGGTTCTCATACTGGGCCTTCTAAAGAGGTTCTCGGACATCCCCAAAGTGTCCTCTTAACTTGCTTTTGTCTACAGGCAGTATCTGCCTTAAGTAGCCCACTATATCTGGTCTATAGGTGGCTGCTAAGATAGGAGGGGCTATGTCAGGTCTTCTCCAGCAGCTGGATTTCCTCATCATTACTGCTCTTTTGCTCTTTCCGGTTTCCTTTCTGTAGATGTTTTGGCCAAGGAATCAAGATCAGGTTTAACAGTACTGTCCCCCCATAAGTAACTTATTCTTTTCTACCCAACAGAACAATTCACCATTGTAAAAACAATTTAATACTGTCAAATGAGGTTTTGCCTTCTTAAAAAAAAAAACCAAAAAACAAACACAAACAAAAAAAACGCCACAAAACAAACAAAAAAAACCCACAACCAAAACCACACACACCCCACCACTCATAGCTTTCAGAACTTCTGCAGGAGACTTGCAGGAACTAAAGATAATTTTGCCTAAATCTATAGTATACCACTGGTGGGTGTGAGGAGTGGAGATAAGGACAGCTATGGCCCTATGAAGAGCCAGAGGCTGGTCACATCCAGAAATGCAATATTGCTGCAGATACACAGCCACCCGAATACTGTGACGTTTGCGATCAAGAACAAATTTTTCCTCAGAGTGTCCAACACCATTAAGATTTTGGCATTCCCCTGAGGCCTAGGCTGTAATGCAATCATAGGATCTCGCTGATCCCAAACTTGTTAGTTCCCTGTCTACAAGAACGACTACTTTATTCCAGTTTTTGCAGAACAGGGTATTTAAGACTTCAGAAACACTTTTGCTCTAAACTCTGATTTTTATTTTTTTTTTTTTATGGAATACTGGATGTCTTTGTGCAGCACGCAGTATATATGAACTATCCAAGAGGTGTTTTTGTGAACCCTGCCAAACCTAACATCTATTGCAGGCATGACAACCTCTGTCTACCGGGAACTAGCTCGACAACCTGAGGATATAAAATAAGACTTATTTTATGTCTTCTATTTGTTCTGCCTTTCTTATCAGTACAATGGATTGTAAGAGTAAACAGGAACCCAAAACCCACGTTCAGCTATGCACCTCTGTACAGTCACTGGTCTAGCAACCACCACCAAGACACTGCATGCAGCTGAGCAGCTGCCAGGGCAGCACCGCTGTCCGGCCAGGGCCAGACCGCTGAAGAAGGGCAGAGGCACCAAGGCCTGCCCTGAGGGAGATGCACTGCGTCAACAGCAAGGACACTGCAGAAATGCAGCATATGCCATCAAATGTTGGACCAATGTCCTCAGGCAGGAACTCTAGCATGGTACTACCCAGGCCAACACTATCCTGCCAAACGTGGAGCAAACTCAGCCAAGTATAAAGTCACCTTCCAAACGATGTTTTGATTAGCTTAATTTTCCAATGTGTCTTTAAGTACTGTTACTACAGTGTGTTGGATGGCAAGGGCCAGTTCACTATCCAGCCATTCCGTCCTTTGCTCCTGGGCCCTTGTTGTGATTCAGCCTGGCTGGACGCCAGGAGCCCACCAAAGTCGCTCTATCACTCTCCCTCCTCAGCTGGACAGGGGAGAAAAACACGACAAAAGGCTCATGGGTCAAGACAAGCACAGGGAGAGATCACTCACCAATTACTGTCACGGGAAAAACGGACTGAACTTGGAGAAATTAGTTTAATTTATCACCAAACAAATCAAGTAGGATAATGAGAAATAAAACCAAATCTTAAAAACACCTTCCCCCTACCCCTCCCTTCTTCCCAGGCTTAACTTCGCTACTGATTTTCTTTACCTCCTCCCCCTGTGCGGTGCAGGGGGACAAGGAATGGGGTTGCAGTCAGTTCATCATACATCGTCTCTGCTGCTCCTTCCTCCTCACACTCTGCCCCTGCTCCAGCATGCTCCACAAACTGGTCCATCACGGGGTCCCACCCACTGGCTGCAGCTCTCCATGAACTGTTCCAGCATGGGTCCTTTCCACGGGGTGCAGTCTTTCAGGAACAAACTGCTACAGTGTGGATCCCCCACAGGGTCACAAGCCCTGCCAGCAAACCTGCTCCAGTGTGGGCTCTCCATGGGTCACAGCCTCCTCCAGGCATCCCCCTGCTCTGGCGTGGGGTCCTCGCCGGGCTGTAGGTGGGGATCTGCTCCACCGTGGAGCTCCACGGCTGCAGCGGACAGCCTGCCCCACCACGGGCTGCTCCATGGCTGCACAGCAAAATCTCTGCTCCACTGCCTGGAGCACCTCCTGCCCTCCTCCTGCACCGACTGCGGGCTCTGCAGGGCTGTTTCTCTCACATATTCCCACTCCTCTATCCCAGTGAAGTTATTTTTCCTTCTTCTTAAATGTGTCATCACAGAGGTGCTACCACCATTGCCGATGGGCTCGGCCTTGGCCAGCAGCAGGTTCGCCTTGGAGCTGGCCGGCCACCGGGAAGCTTCTCGCAGCTTCTCACAGAAGCCACTCCTGTAGCCTCTGTAATACCAAAACCTTGCCATGCTAAGCCAGTACAGACCTGTTTAAGAACAGGGAAGAGGCAGTAATCAATCACGAAAAGGCATCATCATCAGAAATCCTAACCAGTGATGTAACATAGGTACTCCCATACCAGAAAGGTGAGTATGATGGAATCCTAGCCCAAGCTCTAACTGTAATTGCTGTCTGCACCTCATTAAGGACTTGATAAGGAGTTCCTCTGCATCCAGGTCCTATGGACATTTTGCAGTGGCGCCAGCATTTCTGGAAAGAGCTGGGCTTGCACTGTCTGTGGGAACTTCCAACTCTGGCACACAGAAAGGCAGTTTTGAGTTTGCCATTGTAGGTCATCCAGAGACCTGTCCCCTCCGATATTCTGGTTTTTGTGCCTCCGAACTTGCAGAGGCCCACTGGAACTCTTCACCCTGTTTTTCTGCCATTGTTGCAGAGACTGGCTCTGCAGCCGGGTTTGGTTAGCCACACTTGGCAAGCCTTTCTACTGTCCTAGCAGTTTATATCACAGCTCACGTGCGACTTGGCTGGAAGTCACATGCATAACCTCACTCTGTTATTGCAAAGCTGAAGCAATGCAACAGTAGAGCAATGGCATAAGACTACCAGATTCTTGACTGTATGCCTTAGAGCTAAGCAGAGACAGCCTTGCCAGACACACATCTGTTCCATTCATCACTGTGACAGCAACAACCTGCTATTGAAGTCAACTCTGAAACACTCCTTGCAAGCATGTTAAACAAGGCAGGCAAAAGTGCTGTTACACCTCATGACAGTATTTTAAAAGCTGGGACAAGAAACTTTGGGT